CCTTCCTTTGTTTGTAATCATTGGGACCATATACATTGGTAAGGACCCACTCAAATCCATCTGACACCTGCTTAAATTTGACAGAAATTGAGAACCTTCCCACTAATTCTTCCACTCCCTCCACTACTTCATCCTTCCACAAAGTAATTAACCCTCCAGATGAGCCCCAGGAGGGGCTCATAACCCACCTCGGTCCATTCACTCTCCACACACTTCCAGCCCACCTTTTGTCAAAAGTCGTAAGTTTAGATTCCTGAATTAAAACAATGTCTGGATTTTCTTTCTTTAAAACTTCCTTTATTAAGGCTCCTTTGGGGATGTCTTTGGGTTGTTTCAAACCTAATACGGTGAATCCAAGGTCTCCTGAAGACATTTCTGCTTGTTGATCTACATTGAAAGGAATTTTTAAGGCAAAAATGGTTGGAGCTATGTTCCTACTGTCATATGTTGGAATGTGTGGAATGAAAGAAAAAAAAGGGATCTCTGAAATAATACATTGAAAAGGAGATGAATTTGCATTTTTGTGTGAGAAAAAGATAATAGTTTGGATGCTTCTAATTCCAAAATTTGAAGGATTTCAAAGGAGGCTCTTAATGTTGGTTTTATGGTCTTTTAAAGTACAAAATTGAGCCACTGCCCAGTCTTTCAAACAACAAGCAACCTCACCAAACACTCCTCTCAAAACTACCAGACAGCTTAAACCCATATAACCAACACCAAAAATCGTTCCCCGAAAATCAAATCCTCAAACTAACAATTAATCAACAAACAATAAGGCATAATGTATTTCTTTTCCAGTTCCATTAACTTTTTTTTTTGCAAATTTCTCTCTTCCCTAGGCCAACAACCCCTAACATTTTAATTACTTGAACCTCTGTTTCAACAACTTTTTCCAAATCATAACTCTCCCTCTATACCATCCTCTTCCCTTACTTTGCTCCCTTCCTCCAGTTCTTTCACAACCATTTTATCTCCTTCGCCTTGAGAATCAAAACTCTTTTCTAGCTCACTCTTTTTAATCTTACTAACTTTGTCTTCAAAATTACTTCTCTCATCATCATTCTGATTTTTATTTTTGTATTTGGTCTTCACCCCCTTGGAAACAGCCTCTCTATATGTGCAAGGGTAAGGTTGTATACATCTATCCCTCCCCAAACTGTGCATTAGTAGGAGCCTCATACACTGAGCCAGTGTTTTAAAAGCGCAAGGCACAAAAAAGGTGTAGGGGTCAATTTGCGCCTGAGGCGCAAGTCGCAAGGTGAGGCACACGCCTTTTTGAAGCAAGGCACAAAATTATAAAAAAAAAATACTAAAAAATCAAAAAAAATGTCAGAAAATTAAAAAAAATGCCAAAAAGTCAAAAAAGATACCAAGCATAATATTAATAAAAAATTTTAATTTAAATTTTAAAATAATGTTTTAAAAAACCTATTATCTAAAATTAAAATACATAAACATAAGATGTAATTATGTAAAGCATATTCAAATGAGAATTTAAAAATAAAATCAAACATATAAAACATTTTCAAGCATTTAAAACCTCTAATCTCTTTTTTCACTCAATTGCATTACTTCACGTAGTTAATGTAATGTAAAACA